CGAGACCAGCCTGGGCAACTTGGTGAGATCTGGTCTCTATAATAAATCTAAAAATCAGTGGGGTATGGTGTTGCGCACTTGTAGTTCAACTACTTGGAAGGCTGAGGCAGAAAGTTTGCCTGAGCCCAGGAGGTCAAGGCTGCCATGGCCATGAGCATGCCACCACACTCCAGCCTGGGTGACAATGAGACTCCCACTAAAAGAATAATAATAAATAAATAAAAATAAAACAGTGAATATTAACCTAATATTTTTACAAATCACTTTAATATCTGGTTTAATAGAAGACAGCCGAATTCTCACATGTGCTTTCTGCATTCAATCTGCTATGATGTGTTGCTTTGATTCAAGAATATGAAGAAATCTGGTCTCATCCAGATTTATAGGTGGAAAAAGGAGCAGTTTAATAGCTTTTTAGAAAACTGTGGATATTCTTCCTCAGTACCATATCAGAGCTTGATAAGTAGTAGTTTCTTAATGATTAGTTGTCATGTGGAATCTGAAACAGTATCAATAATGTTTTTGTGCTCTGCTACATGAAAATTCATCGGCCTTTCTTGCAGTTTGAATGAACCTTTTATACATGCATAATTTTGTAATCCCATGCATCAAGTTATTTGGAAATTACTGGTTTTCTGAGTTATGTAGATCCTCCAAATGTTAATATATTTTATTATATAATATTAAAAAAGGATTGCTAATTGCACCATTGATCTCATCAGAAAAATGTTCATTAGGAAGATGTCAAGGTCACGGTGGCAGATATAAGTTAAAAAAAAATTTTTAATTTTGTTCAAAAGTTTGAATTTTACCACTGAAAACAAACACAGTCAGCTGTTTTCCTTGAATAGGCTCACTACATTCATTCTTGAGAAAATACCTGCCAAACACTCAAATCTAAATAACCACAGTTGGTCTGTAGGTTGTCCTTTCAAGATGGTTCAGGAAAGAGGGGGCACTTCAGACTCACAACTCCAATTTTGCAACTCCAACTCTTTCCCAGGTGTCTTTCTTTGAGGCAACCATCACACTTTTGGCATTCAACAGAAGTACTCTTCGTGTACTTCCCACCTCATCACACAGAGCAAAAAAGAAAGGCTTGAGATTTAGTCAAGTTTACTACTTTATCAGGTATTAAGTGAAATTGGCATTAAAAAAAGAAACAAACTCCTAGTACAATATGGTGCCATGGCTTTGACTTGGGCTAAGATGCGAGTAATTTTATCTACTATTGTTTCTACATCTTCAGTACAAACATCGACACAGTGAAAAAGACAAATATCTTAATATTATATAAAAATAGTGACTTTTGCACGATCCCTAAGAGCCACTGTATTAATTTTGAATTTAACTTAAAAAACATTTAAATTGACAAATAATAATTGTATATATTTATGGGGTACATTGTGACTTTTTGATTTATGTATAGGTTGTAGAAAGAGTAAATAAAGCTAATTAACATATCTATGACCTCACCTACTTATTGTTTTTTTGTGGTGAAAAACATTAAAAATCTACTCTTTTAGCAATTTTGAAATATGTAATACATTATTATTAACTATTGTCATCATGCTGTACCAAGATCACTAAAACATATCCCTCCTGTCTAACTGCAACTTAGTGCCCTTTCACTAACTTCTCCCCTCTTTCTATTCATCACCCCTCACCCTTGCCCTCTGGTAACCACCATTCTGTTCTCTCCTTCTTAAAAAAATTTTTTTATTTTAAAGGGGTACAATTCAGGGTTAGGTATACAAACGGTCATTGTACAGGCAAAGTTTGGGCCTCACCTTGGTCCCCACCTCACTTGGTTCGAGATATTCTCTCCTTTTATGTGTTTGAATTTTTTAGATCCACTGGACTATTCATTCTCTTCTAGCCACATGTCCTATTTCTGTTTGCCACTGTTCTCATCTCTGTGTCTTTGCATATATTGTTCCATTTGCTTGCAAAGTCTTTCCCAATCAGTTGGCAAAATCCTGTTTGTCTTTTAAGGTCTGGTTTGGATTCCATTGCTGAGAGTTGAAGTCTGTGTTAAGCTGACTAAATCACTCTGTCCTTGGTGCGTCTATTACACTGCACATTATTTTAGCACTTACCGCTTTGAGGACAGAGGGGTTACTAACATTTTAAAGTACCTAATATGTGCCAGACCCTGGTGCTAAGCTTTTTATATGTTTTCTAATGAAGTTGTCCAATTAATTCTATGAGTCAGTGTCATAGCCCTGCACATCAAAGTGATATACAAAGGACCAGACACACAGCTGAAGCTGAAGTCAAAACCAAGCCCATGATTTCAGCATCATCTTGCCCCCAGGGTCTGATGGCACATGCATGGCATAGTTAAGTTACTCAGTTTATATCTCCTGAACTTAGGAAATAAATGAACTTATTAACAATCTAACTCCATAATAAAAGGTTCTACAACACCCCTCATCTTTCAGAGCCTGGGGACAGGGCTCCGGTACAGTATTTTTTTCATTCTTCATTATTTATATACAGTTTAGATTTGAAATCTTCATTTACTTATTTTAAAAAGACCCTGTATTTTCACTTCTTTCAGCATGCTCTTAGCCATGGCATGGTAATTTAATGATCACACTGCCATCCAGCCTGAAACACAAATGTTGACATTTGATAGTAATGTTTTTCCTCTCAAAGTTGCTTCAAGTAAATACCAATGGTGTATCCAAGTAAATGAAGTAATTATTGAAAGAGTAGATGGTGTATATTTTTCAGTATGTGTATTCATGTTTTAAACAAAAATTATGTCAAAAGGTTTTAAAAAACTACTGAATGCCACTTTTTTCACTTAGTCTGGGACATTATGAAATGTGAAAATTCCAATGCGCCTCTGAGAAAAGCTTAGTATCTCAATGACTTTTACTTAGGTTACAGCATGTAACTTGAGAATGGTGGTAAGACCAGAGGTTCTGAAGTATGGCCCAAGGACCAGCAGCCTCTGGATCACCTGGGAGCTTGTTAGAAATGCAAATGATCAAGAGCCAGCCTGGACCTACTGAATTGAAACTTCTAGGGGTGAGGCCTGGCAATCTGTGCTTCAGTTGCCCTTCAGATGACTGTGAAACAGCGAAATTTGAGAACCAACAAAGCAAGTCAACTGTGTCATTGGGATTCATGGATCTTATCTATAAAAAATTGATACATTTTGGAAGAAATGACTAGCCCACGTATAACCAAATCTGTAAAAATATAAACTATCTAGTACGTGGTCTATTATGCCCAGGGTCTGGGTTGCCCTCAAGCCTACACACAGTGGACCGCAGCCAAAGGAGAGAGTCTTGTTTCACAGAAAAGAGGCAGAATCACTTCTTGCCTTTGCCTTCCAGGGTGTGGATAAACACACCAAAGCTGTACTTAATTAGGTGGAAAACCATGTACTGAACTGCAAGAACTATCTGCCATACCCTTCCAGGTAACTCCAGCCATGTGCTGTTTAAGTGGCCTTTTTCCTAAACAAAATACTAACCTGTGATACATGCATTTTATTACTAGTGAAGTAGAAAATCCTGTCACTGAGTACATCACCATGGAATACAACATTCAACTACAATGACAAGATATTCTTTCTAGGAATACATTACTGCTATTCTAGTTGCTTTGTTATTCCATGGATTTAAGGAAAATAGGGACTTGCTACCATTTTGACATTTTGGAGGTATATAAAAAGCTCACTTTAGTAAAGAATATATATATATCTTCCTAGCATTTTGCTAGGAAAAGTAAAGGCATTAATTGTTTACTTCATTTTTCAATTACATGTTCTAAAGAAAAACTGGTGAGATAAAACGAGTCACCAATTAGAGTTTGCTGTCCTTGTGGGAAAGAAGCCCAGGCCAGGCAGAGAAGGTTAACTGTAAGTTAGGAAGGAGAAAGACTCAGAAGCAGATGAATAGAGGACTCAAGGCATATCCTTGTTTAAAAATAAAAAGGTCAGGGAATATAGGGAAATCATCCTATTTGCCACAAACTTGGGATAAAAGTTCCTTGTTTTTATTGGCAGTTAATTAGCGTTGTTTAAAATACAAATGAGAAAGAAAAACTCAATTTCCTACACATAAATGTTTATGTGAAGGATGACATGTGAAAATATAATAATTTTGTTTGATCTTGTGTTCATTAACAATGCACAGTATAAGAAGAATACGAGCTTAGGAGTGAGGCAGACCAGGGTTTGAATTCTGTCTCTGACAAGTACTAGCTCTGTGACTCTGCCAATTCTTCATTTCTCTGATTTTCAGTTTCCTCATCTGAAGAATATTGCCAATTTACAAGGTTTTATAAGGAGTTGCACAGAGTAGTTGATAGCTATTGAGGTATTAAAGAGAATCAATGCCTAGAAAAATAGTGTGGGGATACGCTCTGCCAGCTGAACTGAGGGTATGCCATTGGGTCTCAGTCTCAATAATCAACTTCTCTTATTTCCCTTACATGTCAAATAACCATAAATTGCTTGCTACCCATCCTCCACTTTTCTCACAACACTTGGAAGGAGGACAGAAAGAAAAAGAAATAAAAAACCAAACATTCCCTTAAAATAAGGAAAGCATATAGAGATAATACCTTGGTAAAAGCCAAAAAGAACTGCTTGAAGAGTGGTATTCATTTACAGAGAAGAGTACCACCATTTATTCAATTGGTCCTGGTTCTTCCTCACACTATCATAGCATTTCAAAACAACATATTATTTATTGCTATTAAGGGGTTATGAATTTTCTTTTCTATGTGAAAGCTTCTCTGCATTCACCGGAATGCAGTAGGCTATTTTAGCCAAAGATCCAGGGCTATAAACCTTGTTCAGTGCAATAAGATCACTTTAATACTATTCTAATTTTGGAATGCAGTTATAAAGATAGATGATGGTCAGAGTGCCACTTACAAACAGAAATGGCTCTTATGAAATCTTAAAAGATATAAAAAACTTAGCACCTGAAAATGTGTTAAAAAATTCCCACATTCTGCCAGTCTGTTTTACATACCTGAGAATTTTTTTAGGAATACATGATGGCGAAGAATGACTCCTTTTCTTCTTCTCTGAGTCCTGTAGCAGCACATCCTCGACTCTGCCCTTCTCTGGAACTGCTGCCTGGTCTGCTCCAGCCTTGCTCTGCTCTACACTGAGCTGGCCTTGGGTAGGGTCGCACCTGTACATGAAGACAATGGCTGGTTTCTCACTGGCTTCTCCTTTGGCTTCTGTGAACCAGTGATGGCGTTGCACTGGAGGTGGTGGCAGCATGTGAATGACTGTGCCATCCAGGCCCACCAGTTTCCCTTTCTCTCGCTCTTTCTCTTTGTCATCCTCCTCGTCTGTTTTCCGACGACGGAAGAAGCTTTTAAATGATATCCAGCGCTTGGGCTTTGCGTCAGCGGCCCGCCTGCTGCCTTCGGAGTGCAGGATTGACTCAGCTTCTGTGGACCTGGTGGGGCTAATGGGCTTGGTCCAGTTGGTGAAATGCCTCTGCAGGAGGCTACCTGCATGGTATGGGGAGGAAGTAGAGCGCGGCGGTGGGAAAGGTGGTGGTGGCTCACTGTGGGGGCTCGCCACTAACTTGGAGGGAGGGGAGGTGACTGGCTTTGCAAGTGGATCTTTCGGTACTTTGGTGGCAGGACACTCTGTGGTCTGAGGTACTTCAGTCTCGCCACCAGGCTGAGGTGTGAAGAGAGATTTGGGCCGGCCCGGGGTGCCCTTAGGTATGCTCTCAGCAACATCGGCATCTGGGGGCACAGCATAGAGCTCTTCCACGCTGCAGGCTTTAGGGCCAGACTGAGGTGCTTCTGGAGGAGACTGTGGGGGCTGGATAGAAGCCACAATCTGAGAGAGCACCGTGCTGGCCTTCTCCCTGACGCTACCACTGCTGCTGCCATCCGTCTGAGACTCCTGAGTGCCTTCTGTTTTGGCCACAGGTTCCTGAGTGGTTCTCTGGATCTTTGCTGGGGAGCTGTGGCTGGAACTATAGCTTCTCTGTGGTGAAGACTGGCCTCTGTTGAGACAGTTGTTAAACTCCTGAATCTTCTGGGCCACAGAACCTCTTTTCCGCTCTGTGCTGTTTGAAATCCCCTTAGCCTGGGGACATTCAGTGGTTTTGCTAGTGGTGTTATCAGACACTTGGCTTTCTGTTTCTATTTCTTCATAAGTATGGCTTATCACACTTGTGGTTTTTTCCTTCGCTGAGAGTTCTCCACTTGTTCCCAGGAAACTTTTGTAGATGGCTAGATTGTCATATGCATTTGGATTGATCACAATGGGAACTTTGATAGCATTTTTGGAACTCCGAGCATAAGTTGGCTCATCATGTATGATAATTGGGAAAGGTGGCATACCAGCATTATTGTAGCTATTAAATTTTATTTCAGACAAATTAGGTGACTTAACAGGGATGGTTTTAGAGGAAATGTTTGTAGCTGTGGGTGATGTAGGTGCTGATTTGTGACAGCTTTTCCTTGGAGGGACATTTGGTCCAGTCCCACCAGTAATCAATTCTACTTTAGGTATCTTTTGTCTTGGACTGGTGCTGGAAGTCCAGACTTCCTGGTATCGAATTGCACTGGATTTTTGGAAATGGGCACTTAGTTGTCCTGGCGTCAAGGTAGGTGATGTCACCGGGGAGTTTGGAGTAGAAGATGAGCTTTTTGTTTTGGGACTGCTGACAGGGCCCTCGAGGTGCTCGCTGGCCATAGCTGCTGACACATCCACAACAGTGTATGGCTTGCACAACGGCTGTTCTAGATTCACAACGCGGTAGGGCTTGGCTTGCTCTTCTACAGGGACGAGGTTTATGGTCACTGCTTGCCCAGCAATATCAGTAGAGGCTTTGCTTTCTGGCTTCTCAGTTTGTACAGCAATCTTACCATCCTTCTCTTCTAGTCGGAGGGCCAGGACTGCTTTGTGTGTCTCTGGACTTTTCACTGAGCTTTTGGAAGCCTGTGATGAAGGCTTCTCCTGATTATTACCAGAGAGATTCTCATAACTGGGCTCAGTTTCCTTCATGTCCTTAGAATCCCCTGGGTTACCAGGAGATATCCCTCCATTACACATCTTCTGCGATAAACTACTAGCTGTCTCAGAATGTGATTCCTCTGTCAAAGAAGAATCTGGTGAAATGGAGTCAGATGACACCATACTCTGAATGCTTCCTTGTCCATAAGAGACCACAGAATTCTCCTCATAACCATTCAGGATTTCATCATAGCTGTCGTCGTAGTCTACAGCACAGATTCTCTGCAGAGACTTATTTCGCAGGGGGATGGTATTCCATTTTTTGTCCACAAAGAATCGAACAGGAGACAAAGTGTTTGCCCTGAAGTTGGCAAAGCGAGGCTGCCCTCTCATGCGGATCTCCATGGCCAGCAGCTCCTCGTCACTCTCATCCCAGCTCTCGTGCTCCTCCTCCATGTTACTGAAGAGCATATCTTCCTCACTCTCCTCGCCACTGGAGAACTCTGGGTAGCAGAACCGGCCCCCCTCATTGCTGATCACTTCCGTGCTCCCACTCAGAATCACATGCTTGCACTGAGTGTCCTTCATCCCACCCATCATGCAACTTGGGGGAAGCTTTCTTTCCAGTGAGCGTTTATAGCAGTCATTTATTCTCCCTAAGAATGTTTCTCTGGAGTTTGTTTCATTTCCTCTCACCTGAGGGGTGGTCTCCAAGCCTGCTATCTCCTTCAACACTTCAGTGAGCCCATTGTTGTTATTTGAGAGCTTCTTTGCACTGTCATTACTGCCATAAGGCTTAGGAGCATGGCCAATCCCTTCACCTTCTTCTTCATTATTATTGTTAAGTGGTTTCTGACCCAAGGCAGTTCTGTTCCGGTTCCACCCTATGATGACAGGTTTGTTCTCACAGTGTTCTTGGATGCTAAGCTCGCCACATACACTTTGTCCATCTGCCACCATCATAGTGGGCTTCACAGCTATCGTGGGTTTTTTAGCCACAGGAGGCCGGAAATTTCCGGTGTTCCTGATGCGATGGTTGTTACTGTGATTGGCGTTCGTTTTCACATTGCCATGGGTGATGGGTGCCTTCTCAGGGTCTGGGGGAAGCTGGTGCAAGCTTTTAGGTTTAAAGCAATTCTTGCATTCACCAGGTTTCCAGACGTGTTCAGTAAAGGTGTTACAAGCAGACATTTTAAAAAATAGAACTTCACAGACAACGCGTTTCTTTCAGTGCATGACAAACTTTCATCTGCCAGTTTTTACCTTCTTTATGTGTTACAGCAGCTCTTCCATGTACGATCAATCTGTGGGAGAAAAAAGAAGAAAACAACTGAATGAAAAAGGCACTAGGAAGCTTACCATTATGAGTGACTTGAAAAAACTAGCTCTATTCCTCAATTTTCCTTAACTTAAAAGATTGAAAGATAAACTAATTTGGATACTTTGCAATCTCCCTTTAGCCAATCAGCATTTTGGAAAGTTGGTCTTTTAACTACAATTTTAGTCATGTTGAACCATGGAGAATCTTTGGCTTGATGTTCCTGTGGTAATCTCACTGTGACTAACCTTCTCCCAGGAAATGCCTTTGCTACTGCTCTTTCTGTTATCCACCAATCTCTCCAACATTTTCTAGCCTGTGAGAGGTTCCTCTTTAGCCACCCATCATTAACATTTTAGATATTTCATAGATTCCTCAAACTCAATGTATTCAAAATGTATCCTCTGGCTACCCCTTTTCTCAGTTCAAAGAAACTTACCTCCTCTATCTAGCCCTCCTCCACCCCTCATGTCACCTTCTTATTCTTTCCTTACCCTGTATTTCAGTTAATATCATCACTAGCTACATAGATAGCTAAGATTTAACCATCAGACCATTCCACCACTCTAACTCCAACTCCTACTAACTCCCTAAGTTAGTCCTGGCAATTTTATCTCATTACATTTCACCGGAACACCTTCTTGCCATGACCAGACAGTGCGGGAAGTTCAGATACTCACTAGAGCTTGCTTAGATTACTGCAACAGGCTGTTAACTCATCTCCATTTCTTTAGCCTCACTCCCTTCCAATCCTTCCTCTAAGTGGTTGGTTCTCAGATAAGCAGTAACAGACCTACCTGGGAACTTGTTAGACCTGAAGTTTTCATAGGTCAAACCCCAGACCCACTGATTTGCATTAAACATTTTTTTTCTATTTAAAAAATGTGGGGTACAATTCAGGGTTAAGTATACAAATGTTCATTATGCAGGTACCCCTATTGATGAGGTGTCTCTTCCACCCCGACAGTTTCCCACTATTGCCAGTCCCGCTATCCCACCCCAGCACCTGGCAATTTTCCACTACTGACAATCCTTTTCTGAAATGATTACGATAATTGTTCAAGGTCCACTTATGGGTGAGAACACCTGATACTCAGCTCTTTGTTTCTGTGAGAATTTGCATTTTAGTGAGATTCTCAGGTGATTCACTGTTTTATACTATGATCAGATTTAGCTTTCTAAAATGTTATAAACTAGCTTAGCAACTACTCTGTAGCTCAATCTCACCTTGTGCTTGGTTCCCAAAAGTCAGTATGCAGACTAGGGTTTTTAGCTAAATAAGAAGCACCTGGGGAACTCCCCACCCTTACCTAGTCAAAGGTAACCTGGCGAAGAAACCAGGAAACTGAATTTTTAACGAGTTTTCCAGGTAATTCTATGTGCAGTGAGGTGTTAGAACCTCTGATTATAGAATGGAATCCAAACCCCTTAGTCTTTCATGGTATGGTCCTTGCCTCCCTGCTAGCCTCATGTCTTGACAATCAAATAGTCTTATCACACTTGAAATTCCACCAGGCTACTCATTTCTCCTTGGTATATCAAAGCCCTTTAGACACGCCTCCATGAAGAGGTGCTTTCATTTTTAATTGTTTGCTTCCCCACTAGTTTTTGAGCATCTTTAAGGTACTGGCTGTATTTTATTCATCTTTATGTGTCCAGCATAAGGAGCTAAATAGACATTGGTTGATTAAGTGTGCTTGTAAGGCTTGTTTAAAAAAAATCTTGTGGCTCTCTCTCTCTTGTCTTAGGCACCCAGCTGCAGACCTTCCCACAGAATGCCACCTCAGTCCTGTTTCTACTTGGAATATTATGATATTGTACATTTATGTTTTGAATATTTTAATAAAGATGGCAGTAGGCTTGTAAGAACTATTCTACTAGCTGGCAAATTTCACTTCATTCATGTACAATGACAGAGATAGAATCCTGAGTTGGTCAAAACCCAGTCTTTTTGGTAAGTTTCAATATGTTTCTAAGGAATGAAACTATTTTCTCTAGCTAATATATACAAAGAAAAGTCCCTTATAAACAATACAGCACTTACAAAACCCTCTGCTTTAGTGGATAAAGTATAGACTTATGGACCAAAGAAACTGGCCCAGAGAGCCCAGTCGCCTAACAAGGTTAAAATACATTCTTCAAGTGTCTCTTTAAAAACATTTATTAGCCAGGCTCGGTGGCTCAGCCTGTAATCCCGCGCCTTTGGGAGGCTGAGGTGAGTGAATGGCCTGAGCCCACGGGTTCAAGACTCGCCTGGGCAGCGAGACCTCATCTCTACAATAAATCAAAAAATCAGCCAGGCGTGGTAGCGCATGGCTGTAATTCCGGCTACTTGGAAGGCTGAGGTGGAAAGATCGCCGGAGCCCAGCAGGTCGAGGCTGCGGTGGCTGGGAGCGGCCACTGCACTCCAGTCTGGGTGACAGAGTGAGACTCCAACTAAAAACAAAACAAAACAACAACAACAACAAAAACAAACAAAACAAAACAAAAAACCATTTATTTACTGCTGGGCATGGTGGCACACGCCTATAGTCCCAGAACTTTGGGAGGCTGAGGTGAGAGAAGTGCCTGAAATCACAGGTTCAAGACCAGCCTGGGCAACTTGGTGAGACCGCATCTCAAAATAAATTTTAAAAAATTAGCTGGGTGTGGTGATGTGTGCCTGTAGTTCCAGCTACTTGGAAGACTGAGGCAGAAGGATCACCTGAGCACAGCAGGTTGTGGCTGCGGTGGCCGTGAGCGTGCCACTGTACTCCAGCCTGGGTGACAGAGTGAGACTCCAACTCAAAACAAACAAAACAGCAACAACAACAACAACAAAAACAACAAAAAAACATTTATTTACTCTTTCAGATACTTTAAAAGTTATATTCCTTAGTTGGTAACACTACTTCCTGCTAATCTGATACTTGAACTTTGTGGGTGAGAGGCAAAGAGCAGCATAAAATTAAGTTGAAAAGGAAAGCAGGGGCCAGATCATGCAGGGCCTTTTAGGCTTTTAAAGATTACAGAGTTTATCCTAAGAGCAGTGGGAAACCACTGAAGGGTTTTGAACAGGGGAAACAACATAATCCAATTTGCATTTTAAAAAGACAGCTCCGACCAAAACCCATGAAATTCTTAGGTATAAAAATCTAGTAAAATATGTGTAAAATTTGAAATCTATATGTGGAAAACTACAAAATACTGATAGATGGTGGCAGTAGAGGGGAGAGAGATAAACAGATTACAGACCACAGGCTACATCCACCTGTTTTTGTATCCTAAGCCAAGGATGCTTTTTATGTTTTTGTTTATTTGTGCTTTTATTTTTTATTTTTTTGAGTTGGAGTCTCACTCGGTCGCCCAGACTGGAGTGCAGTGGCCACTCCTGGCCACCGCAGCCTCGCCTGCTGGGCTCCGGCGATCCTTCCCCCTCAGCCTTCCGAGTAGCTGGAATTACAGGCATGCGCTACCACGCCCAGCTGATTTTCTGATTTATTGTAGAGATGAGGTCTCGCTGCCCAGGCAGGTCTCAAACCCGTGGGCTCAGGCAATCCACTCACCTCAGCCTCCCAAAGGCGTGGGATTACAGGCTGAGCCACCGAGCCCGGCTTATTTGTGTTTTTAAATGGTTGAAAAAAATCAAAAGGATAATAATATTTTGTGGCAAGTGAAAATTAAATTTCAGTGTGCACAAACAAATAAAGCTCTATTGGAATACAGGTCATACTCTTTGTTTATATATTGCCCATGGTGGCTTCTGCACTATAGTGGAGAAAGAGTAGCTGTGACAGAGGTGGCATGTGGCACTCTTACTGCTTTGCAGTGCTTTTGTCATGCTAAAAATTGCAGGGTTTTCGTTGATACATGTATCACCTGTGTGAAAGACATTTCAAAGATAAAATATGTAAAATTTCATTACAGACATGCATTCATAGATGAACAGCTGTCATCTGTTTTGATGAGAGGAACACTAACTTTCAACCCTAATTAGGCAAAGCGTTATCCCTCTTCCCAAAAAAGAACTTCATTCTTCTTACTAGTAAAACTGTATTAAAAAATGTTGTACTTAATTACATTTTGAATTTTATCAAACAATTTGTAGAAATTTCTTTTCTCTCTTGACATACAATACCTATAGTACCTTTTGCTTTGCCTTTTGGCCTGAAAAACCTAAAATATTTATCATCCGGTCTTTTACAGAAAAAGTTTACTGACCTCTGACGTAGATCAGAATAGAATAGAGAATAAAGTCCAGAAACAGACCCACACAAGTGTAGTCAACTGATTTTAGACTAAAGTGAAAAGGATGGTCTTTTCAACAGATGGTGTTGGAACAATTGGATATCCGTAAGTAATGAAATGAGCCTCGATCTGTATCTCAAACCATACACAAAAATTAACTTGAAATGAACCACAGACCTAAGTATAAAGCATGAAGCCACAAAACATTTAGAAAAAAACTGGAGAAAATCTTTGCAACCTTAAGTTAGGTGAAGAGTTCTGAGATACAACACCAAAAGCATGACCTGTAAAAGAACAAATTGAAGTTCTGACTTCATAAAAATTAAAAATGTTTTTTCTGCCAAAGATACGGTTAAGAGAATGAAGACAAGTCACAAATGAGGAGAAATTTTGTGCAACACACATCTCTGACAAAGGACTTTGTGTCCGGGTATATAAAGAACGTCCAAAGCTCAACAAAATAAAAACCCACTAAAAAACAAAAGATTTGGGCAGACACATTACCAAAGGTATATGGATTCCATGTAAACATGTGGAAGGCTAAATATCATTAATCACAAGGAAATGCAAATTAAAATTACAGTGAGCTACCATTGCATGTTTATTGGACGATTACAACAAAAATTGGCTGGTGCTACTGAGGAAATGGAGCAACTGGAATTCCTGTGTATTGCTGTTGGGAACGCAGACGGCTCAGGCACTTTGGAAACTGTCTGGTAGTTTCTTATATGTTAATTATAAACTTACCTCAGAACCTGG